GAGCTATGAATGGGTCACTGAGAAAATAGAGTGCCGAATGTACTTCCAAGATTTGTGAATCTAGAACTTTGAATTTACAGAAATGGCACCAGATCGTACTAGATACGATTACTCGTCCCATTTCATATTTATATGATTTGGAACGTCATTTTTTGCGACTCTCCTTTCCTTGTTAAAGGCAAGGCTAATTGTCACGCCACATTCTTGGTTTGAAGTTCAACCTATTCTCATTGTTTATGGTGGTTGCAAAGAACATGAAATCGCATTCGTCCAAAATTAATTTGATGCCTTGAGTTCAAGCAAATGAGGGAGTTACTCACAAAATTTCGTAAAAAATAAGCTGTTCAAGAAGTACTCAATAGAAAAATAAAAAGAGTTCTATTAGGTGGAGCAGTTGGTTTAGTATAAGCATGGTTGTGCTATGTTGTAGTCTAACTAACAAAAATTCTTTATCAAATGTTCGTGTTGAATCTAAACTTCTTGGCCTGCAATCCATATGTAAACCGCTTGTGCGTTTCTTTCCAACAAAATGGTGATTGGGTGCAAGGTTTTTTTTTTTTAAAACTTTTGGAACCCTCTTGGGGAAGATTTGTTTCTTTAGAGGAAACTTACTAAAATAGTATTGTTAAACATGAATCGACCTCAAAATGACATGCTATGATTGCAATGCTCAGGCACGCCAGACCAATCACAAATTCAATAAGTGAGGTTGAAATGCAAGTTCTTTTATCTCAGCACTACACAATTCACTTTATTCTTGCTATCCATTCCGATTATGTTTTACTATATGCTTTAAAAGATTCTTTACCGTGTTTAGGGCTGGACAAAACTCCCGAACCGAACTGAACCGAACCGAATCGAGTGGTTCTTCATAAGTTAAATACCCGAACGGGTATCTGAATCGAGGACCGATGAGTTTGGTTTGGTTCTCGGTTCTAGANGGGCTGGGCAAAATGTCCGAACCGAACCGAACCGAACCGAACCGAGCGGGTTTTTTTAAATGAAATACCCGAACGGGTATCCGAATCGAGAACCGAATGGTTTGGTTCGGTTCTCGGTTCTAGACCCAGAACCGAAAAATCGAATAAGAACCAAATTTAAATATTTTTTTTAATTTTTTATATTGAATTAATTAATTTTTTTAAATTTTTTTCTAAACAAATTAACTAATTAACTAATTCAGTTATTAATGTTCTAACTCCCAAGTGAAGTTCATGCCTAACTAGCCCAACTCAATTTCTAAATTCAATTTTTTGGTCATATTGTTAATTTCATTTTTAGCCCAAGATCTAGATCTTCTTAAATTTTTATCATTCTCTTTCTATTTTCACACTTTCATTCGGTAACCATTGAGTCAATGACCTCAAATCATTTGATAAATTGAAAACCTACATCTACATGTCCAAATCGAAATTGTCGACTGTTGAGTCCGACTTCCCCTCTCCAATGCCCATCAAAGCCGCGACCTCCAATCACGACCACCGATCATTGACCATTAGAAATCTGTTAAAAAAATTAATTAGGTACGGAACGGAACGGAACCCGAACCCGAACCCGAACGGTTCCATAATTATTTTTGGACCCAGCGATTCCATTTACTAAATGCCCAAAAATTTCGGTTCGGTTCGGTTCAGTTCTCTTCAGAACCGAACTGAACCGGACTACGTCCAACCCTAACAATGTTATGGTATTTTGTAGTCGAATTTGATGTTTTATATTCTATTTTAAAATAATCTGCATCGTGTTACTCTTGAATTTGAATGTTGATGGATTGATATTTGTATGAAATTGAATTTTCCATCTCTTAGAAGATAAGCTCCTCCAAAGTGTAATGGTTGAGAGATGAGCCTACAAATCTCTCTTAACTTGCGGATAATACAAAGCCAGTAATTGACATCATGACTATTTGACCAAATTTTAATTTTTAACGTGTTCCACAGTAAAAATTAGAGAATGTAAAAAAAAAGTTGATTATCTATAATACATTAAGAGGGTGTTTGGTGGGAATTAAAATTAGATTTTTAATAGATTGTGATAGAAGTTTTTGAAATGTGTAGTTGAAAAGTTGTGGGACCAATAAAAAATGTGGTTAATATTGATTGTTTGACTTTGATTTAGATTAAAATCAGATTTTAATCCGGACCAAACATGAGCTAAATCTCACGTCAAATGATAATCATTTTTCGGACGATTTTATCTTTACTATTATTCAATTATTTCAATAATACCATACTTTTCATTTTTCAATATGTATTTAATTATTTTAATAATACACCACTTTTTCTCTTCTATATATAAAGTGGCTATCTAACGGAATTTTGTTGGTTTAACGGAAAAACTAACGGAATTTTTTATTTCAAACAGGTAGCTGCACCTTCTTTCAATATTTTTATCATAACTTTGTATTTCGATATCCGATTGAGGCGATTCAAAATGCGTTAGAAAGATAACTCATCTGGCTATAACTTTGATTCAGAAATCATTCTCCAATTCGA